GGTAATGAAAGGGCTTTCAATTTACCTCCTGAGCTCTAACAAGCAAATTACAGACATCCCCGTGAGCGTGCAATGGGAAAAACAAACTACCCAGCTTACGTAAAGCTGGAACCTGAGCCTGGATGCGACACCCTTGGCTTTAGGTAACAAAATAAAGGTCCTTTGGCGAGAGGGGGGGAAAGGATTGACCTTCCTCTTCAAAACATTTGGTCAGACCTACAGCTCCTTGTTTCGGACAAGTTGAGCAGAAGCTAAGGAACTTAAAAAGCAAACTAGTCTCAGAGGACCTTCACATTTTCCACGGGAATTTCATCCAAACGTCTTGCTGTGGCACAAGGCAAACCCAGACCAGGCACATGGTCCACTATAGCTGAGAAGCTCATGTGGGTCAACACCTTCAGAAAACATCTAGGAACTATATGGCCAAACAATATTTTGCCAAAACCTCCGTCCACCTGCCAGTATAGCTGAGACCCAGAGTATTTTCTTCCAGCACAAGCAGAAAAGATTACAATCAACAGAATCCAACAACCTAAACAAGTTCTGCTGCTTCTCAGATGGCCTTGAGCCAAAATGTCACTGTGCCTCAGTTCTCCAGTTGGGCAAACACCAAGGCTCCAGAGCCTGACTGCAAGCCTGAGCTGAAGTTAATGGACCATCAGCGTGGATGGGAATTGCATAGGGGTCCAATGCAAAACCTAATCTGAAATCAAAAGGACTTTCGGTCACCCAGCACTTTGGGTATCACGAGGAGAACGCACCCATCACGCTATCTGAATGGTCAAGGTGACCCTTCTCAGGGACTACTCACATAACACAGTGACAAGCACTGGAGCATGGTGGCCTTTGCTCCTCTTCCCAGCCTAAGGAAAGTGCTTTTTCCCTGGTTACTATCACAGTAAAAACCACCCCACACCAAATTTCAGCAATCTGAACTGAAACCCATCCGTAAACTACAAATACTTCCTATAGCTAGAGAAGCCTTAAGAGAGTGGGATAAGGCAGCCACAGAGCCAAGAAAAGGGTTAAAACCCCCAAAATGCGGAAAATTGTAATACTGCACTGTGTCATCCAACTTTCCCGAGAAAAGGGAAAGGCCAGTTCAGAACCTGTGTATGTTTTCTACTGAATTATTTGCTAGGCTCTGATTAAGTGGGAAAGAATGACTGTCAACTAATAAAACTTGAGGTTTTCTAATTAAACCACAGGCACCCTGCCAAGCGTTGCTGATTTGTTGATGCACCCCTGCAATGTCAAGGCTCTGAGGACACAACAGGTCATTAAAGTATTAAACAGATGACTTATACTCTTTAATCAGAGCTGGGATGCCAGGCTAGGAAGAGAGAGTAAACTCAAGGGCAGAGTACAATAATTATCACCAGGAAACAAACACATCGTTTGGGGAAAGCGGAGAGAAGTTGTTAGCAAGCAGTTAGTGCATAAGGAAAGGGCTGGAGTACCGAGCCCCACACCTGGGGCTTTTATGAGAGTCATCTCCCCCACTTCACAGTCGTAAGAAAATCCTGCAATATCTGTGATTTTCGCTCCCTTGCCATCGGATGCAGCGCTGCAGCACTAAGCCAGACCAGGAAGCGCCTGAGCCTCCTCTGCCCGGCTCTGCCAGCACCGCTCAGCCCCCCGTCTGCAACAGCATCTCACGGCTTTGTCATCTCTTCACACCTCCCGCCAGCTCTGCTGAACGCCGTCAAACTGCAACTAAGAGACGAGCACGCTCGTTTTTCCAGTGTGCAACAGCCAAAACGCCCTGAGCTACGTTTGAGACCAAGGGACAGAGCATGCTTGGAGAGAAAGGCAGAACCTAAAATCCAGCTTTCAGCTCCTGTAAGGTCAGCCCTTGCCTCTGGCTTGAGGCTCCTCTCCGATGAAGAAGCCACCAGTGACTTCAGTCAATGGACTGTAAACTTCTCTTCCAAATGAACAGCTCAGCAAAGGGCATTTATTTGGAGGTTTCGCAGAAAAGCTAGATGCAGCGACCGTAGAAAGGAGGTGCACGAACTGCAAAGAGCCCCAAATATATTGCTCTATAGAAGCCTCACAAGGCAGCTATTTGGCAGTTTCCCCAGACATATAGATATTTATAGGAGAATAAAAGTGCTCATCTGACTGAGTAGTGGAAAGAGTCATGTATGGCATTTCCATCGTGTTTTCACCCCCCGCCGCCCCTCCCCAGAGTCTGGGGATCCAAAAAAAGGCAAGAGAAATAATTTAAAATACAATAGAGATCCCTAGCTTGCCCTGAAGGCTCTGCTGATGAACTATTAAAAAGCTTCTTCTGTCCAAACAAGACACTTGGAGCGCGAAGCAGATAGCCTACCGCATTGTTTTATAAGACAGCACTGCAATTCCACCAGCGTCTGTTACAGCTGAAAATACAGCAGGCGCAGAAAAAGTGATTTAATATGCCTATCAAAGAAGAAAGCTGTAATTGGATTCAGTCCTCATTTGACTTCCGAAAGTCTCAGAAGAAAACTCCCATCAGCTTTAAAAACCTCCAAGATTTTATGTGGAAGGAAGAGCACTTCGTTCTGAAAACCCAGCAGTTGGAGCTGGCTCGTGACGGTAAGTCAGCCAGCAGCGAGTCCTGATTTCAGCAAAGCTCGGCAGAACCTGTATCTGTGTGCAAACTAAAGCCAGCAGTGACGAGCAGGGTTTCTCACATATTATTTTACCTATACGCAAAAGCAATTTCAACTTTTTATGGGGGGGGAAGAAGTATCAGACTTTTCTTGGTAAGTTTAAGTGACTTATCACCAGTCTGCCTGTGTCTCCATCCTCACAGCCCATCAAAGCAATCTGGGAACATTCTCCAAATAACTGATTAAACAATGTATTTAATGTCTTCTGCGATGGAATTTTGCTACATAGCTAACATTCTGCACACCATATTCATCTTTGCAGAAACGATCTCACTCGGAAAACAGCCCTGCAGCAGATGCCCTCCTTCTGCAGCACTTGCAGAAGCAGAGAAGTCTGCTTAAAACGCAGAACCCTCGATATTAAGCTACAAGTTGCATACACAGCAAGAGTAAAGAAGGCAACTGAAATATTTGAATATTTTGTGTTTATAGGGTTTTTTTGTTTTAATGGCAAACACGCCATCTGTCAGTTATTGGGGTTATTGCATTAGCCCTCAGCCAACCACCGCCTTAACCCTTGCTGAGTTAAGAACTGTTCATCTCAGTCCAGCTAAGATCTGTACACAAAAAAAAATCCACATCTGAATTGGTGTGCCAGCATCTAAACGTTAGCAGGGCAGCAAGTACGCACAAATATATAGAGTCCTGTTGGGGAAGGGAGCCAGGGGAGGGGAGAGGAAGGGACTGGAGTTCTGCAATCACTTATCCCAAAAAAGGATGAGGGATGCAATGCCGAGAAGATACAGCTGCAGTTTAATTAGCCACACCGCCGCTTATCAAGTAGCATCTCAAAGCCTATGGCATCACCACCGCAGAATTTAGGCAGCCTACATACGGCGTCTCGGGCTCACTTTACATCGGGTTTTACCCTGGGCCAAGTAATCTGAGCGTGCTGTGAGGACTCTTCCCCCCAGCTCGGGGGCTGCCTTCGCTCCCCATCATTTCAAAACCATGCCGCCATGGCCATCCCACTTGAAATACCTAAACCTTGAAACCTCCCTAGTCGTTTGGGACAAATTACCCTAGATGTCCTAGGCTGTTCTGCAAATCTCCCCTCCTCAGTTTTGGGGCTAAAAGCTAGAGGCCATTCTGAATGCAGGAGATGCATGAACCAGATACCACCTACCTACAGAAAATTTCCCCTTCCCTCCTGTCACCCTCCACAAAGGCTAGTTTTTCTTCATGTCAAACTGTCTACTTGATGAGTACAATTAGGTTACACCTAGAGCTATTGCTCCCAAATGGTATTTCGCTTGCTATTTAGTACCAGACTTTACAGGCTTGTAAGCTCCTTTGGTTTGTCCGCTCCCCCTCCCTACAAGCTTTTCCTTGGGGTAAAACTCCTCCCTACAAAACTTGCTTCTTGTAATTGTTGAGAGAGAAGGCAACATCAGCACTGTAAAGGTATTTTCACAATGTTGAAGAGCCCTGCCACAGCACTGTAATGCTCCAGAGTGCGCAACAAGCAGAGCTCAGGAAGGACCACACCATTTTCCTTGTTTCAAAAAAAAAAAAAAAAAAAAAAAAGGCAATAATTAGGTCAGCAAGTAGCAGTAGTGGCAGAGGGAAAAAAAAAATAACGGAAAAGGAGTTCCTCCTTGTTTAAATGTTTATAATTCAAAACATGCAGTAAGGTCTTTAAAAGTGAGTAAAAAGGTAGTTAGAAAACTGTTAGAGCAAGGAAGCCCAGTTTGCACTGGAGTTCACTGCAGGGTAGAGCCAGCTCCTGTGATCCACCCCACGCCTGCTCGCAGTGCAGCCCCTAATGAATCCTTTGGACTTCAGCCGATGCTACCAGCTCCCAAACAACAACAACAACAATAATAAAAACCCAGAAAAAAAAATATTCTTCAGCAATAGCCTGTGTATAAAACATGTCCTTAAAAGCCCATGAAATTCAGACTCGACCACTTTCCCACTCACTCACTCTGCCATCTGTTACGCATCCAATACAGAACGTGGAAATACGACCAATATCCCCCAACTCACCAGAAACTGTGTGCAAATCAGATGCTATCGCCTTGTTCATCAATTCGTACTGGAAGCCCGTAATCTTCCTGCTAATGTCCTGCTGAGGAGTGGCCTCGACAAACAGACCCCCCTGATCGTAGCCGAAGCAGTAGACTTTACCAGGCCTGCGATCTCCATCTCGGACCAAGAGTTTCAGTTCTCCAGTTTTTTCCAAATAAATATTTGCTCCTGCAGAGTCCTTGAAGGGCTTTATGCAAACAGTCAAGTGTTTGTAAGAGGCAGGTGAAGTGTTGGGTCGCAGGTTGACAATGAGTGCTCCCGTGGGATACATCCACTCTATGGACCCTTCCGAACAGCGGAGGTAGACCTGTTCAACATCCTTCCTGTGAGACTCGTGAGTTAAGCCACTGGGGGCAGAAAGAGAAAGTTAGAGAAATGACAGAGCTAGTAACATGACCGTCATAACCTCAAACCTTCAAAGACCCACATCACCAAACACAGCAGTAGTCAGAAGTGCTTGTCTCTTGCAAGATCGCAACCTTAATATTATGGGACAATTTTAAATCATCTTCCAAAAGAAAATGTCAAACCACTAGTAATTGACTTCAGAATTAAATAGGATATAAGGACATGATCAAAAGCAACTAAATTACTACAGCCTCAGTTACTGCCCATCAGCTGAGCTGTGGCAATGACTTGGCGCATACTAAGTGGAACACGTACACTTGAACTCCCTTCCTGGTGGCTTAAACCAGCACGTTCTCCAACCTCGCAGACTGGACTCCGCCTTTTGCCGAGTACTTTGTTCCCCTTCCAAGTCTATTTTCCCAATGGATCTGAAACTGGGAGCAATGCCAACCTCACCCTGTGAACTGGAGCAAAGGGATGCTCTGGGTGCTACTGATACCCTCTGCCCCAGCTGGGCAGCCCCAGTCTCCAAACTGGGAGGAAAAAAAATCCACTACACTCTCCACTCATAGCTGGGGAAGCACTGAACTACTCTGCTTGCTTTGGTACATGTACCTGTTCCCCTACTTCTCCCCAACAGGAGGTTTAAGCTCAGTTTATCACTTTACTCCGCTGGACTGCGAGCAGACACAAAGCTACGGGTGTTCAGCAAAAAAAAGACACGTGGCTGGTTATTATCACTGTGTCCTTACCCAGCACCATGGCAAAAAATTAACACCCCACCAGCCACTTTGAGAGCTGGTGATCACAGAGATGGGACAGGAGAGGAACACGGGGATCCCCGGACCCACTGCTAGTGACACGAGCACACTGCCATGCTGAAGCAGGATGACTAGTAAAGCCCCATGACTTGCTTGCCCATAGCCTAAAGTGAGGACAGGTCTAAACAACTCTTGCTGCCTGTCACTGACCATGGACCAGCCCCACAGGTTCTTGACCCAAAGCACCAATACAGCACTGCATGCTGCAGGCACTCCAGTGAAAAGAAAAAAAGATAAAATAGCAGGAAGCCTAGTTTATTGGCTACAGCATTTGGGCCATTTGGCAAAAATCCTTTGGTCCCAGTCCCTGGCCTGTCACAAGCCTATTACGCGAGCATGAGCAACTCACTTCACCACCAAGCTCGTTTCTCCTCCTACACTTTGGGTACCTTGTTCCCAAACATAAGCATCTTTTTTGCGGCGCCTGCAGAGCACCACCCAAAATGAGACCCTTCAACACAGCTCATGGGTCTGCTTTGCAGTTCTTTAGAGAAGCTTTACAACGTTCCTACTCGCAGGCAGATGAACTAAGGTGAAAAAAATAATTAAAAAGGATTAAGTGACTCGCCTGAGGTTAAACAGGAAAGCTGTGGCAAAGAACATATTTTGGTATAGTGCAAGTAATGACATCAACCTCTGGTTTCTCAATAGAAACCTCCAAATACACAGTTCCCCACCCTAAAAGATATATTCAGGTGCTGAGCAGGGTTTAAATTGAAGTCAGCACTTAGAAAGTAACAAGAAGCCATGTGTAAGAGGGGAAAAAACCCATCTGGTTTGCATTTACTGTTGACGTGACTCATTATTGTGTCAGTGTGACCCACTTGATAGAGGTTACATGAGGAAGCTCAGAACCAAAAGTCATATTTAATAACAATAGTGCCTACAAACATGTGCTTTTGAATAATCTTGAAAGCCACATCAAGAACACAGATGAGGAGAAAAGAGGGACAAGTTGCTGACCTTTAGTCTCTTGCCCTCAAATTCAGTAGTACTTAACACATTCAGGAAACCTAACTTGCAGTGGGATATTTCAAGCTGACTGTAAATCCACATCTGGTCCACAAAAATCACTTCTCACCACAGCATGCGCATGATGCCACTCAACAGAAAACACAGAGGTCTGTTTATGTGCAAGCAGTGAATAAGTAAAATTAAAGAGTGTAAAGCCTATCCCTCAGCAAAAGGGCAAAAAAAAAACCCCCTCACACATCGCTTGTTCCTACTCAAGACATCAAAACAAGCTGCGAAGGTTTTGCAGGTCTTACATTGGCAAATTCCACCCTGAAGCTTGAGCGTTCAAACAGAAGGAAGACACCAGGGGCAAAACTCTGAATGCGTGCAGTGAAACTGCTGTTGCAAGTGATCCCAGCACCGCTGCGGCTGTGAATTTCTGCCAGAGAAAAAAGCCTTAACACTCATTTTGTTCAAACATTCATGCTGTTCAAACAAAAAAACAGGGTGGACTCTGAAATTATCTTCTGAAAGCCAATTACATCCCACAGGCAAGAGCGATGCCATGAGACAGATACATCAAGCACAAGAACCTGTACGCATTAAGCCTTATAATGAAGGATGACTCAAAAGTCAAGCAGATTTCAAAATACACGCTCACATTACTTAATAGCAACCACCATCACCCAGTAAAACCTGTCGCTTTGCTTTCTGTCAAAACAACGTGTCACCACACTGAGACTGGTTCATGTCATGTTTAGTTCTCACTCACCAGTCACCAGACACACCATGTCCACAAAATAATGGAGGTCCAGGAGCCTTTTTTTTTTTTCCCCCCCCAAGCTCATTTGAGTTTTGTTTTTGTTTTTTTAAGCCCCTGGCAAGGAGACAGCGCAGCTGTTTCATGGTTGCAGTGATGGATGAGCCATCCATCCTCCCTTTCAAATCTGTGCTGCTTATTGGGACTTAACTTCTAGAGCAAGTACTACTTCCTCATACCAATCCATGAGGACATCCTGAATCACTGCATTTGTCTCCGCACTCTTCTCCCTTTCTGTGTTCAGCCCCCCTCTCTGTCTGCCCCGGAAGATCTATTACAGAGTCGGTGCAGCAAGCTCTTACGCTGCAGCATGCAACAGGTGCTATTTAAAGAAAAAGGAAGCGGGAGGAATATTTACACTATCTACTTGAGCTATTTATTTATTCTCTTACAGATGCTCTGAAGAGCCCTAGAAGCACCCATGTCGTCCCAGCACCCCTCAGCAAACAAGGGACTTTCGCTCCTAATTTAGGGTATCTAATTAAGGATGAGAGCATTGAGACTTCCCCAGAGCATCCACCGGTGCAGAGGGCAAGATTGAGGGACAATAAGAAGCCACATCAGAGTTGAATTCTTGCCCCTCCAGCCTACAGTCAGAAACGCCAGAGCAGCATATTCGCAGCAAGTCACTAAAGCACTTTTGCCCAAAGCATCGAGAGGTTATTGCAGTATGAAAACCTGAAGTTACAGCAAGATTAATAACCAGACACACACCATAGTGAAATTTCTGCTTTCTTCTGGACAAAGCTTTCCTGGAAGCTCTCTGCCAAGCTATTTAAGATGCTGCTGTGGCCCACTGAGTGTACTTAAATTGCAGGTGTCAAGCTGTGCATTGCATCAGATTTCCCTGGAAGCAGGAGGGATACCTACAGCACTCCTAGTGAAGCTCTTCATACTACTCAGGGATATAAACTGGTCACTTCTCTGCAAGCTAATGGGGAAAAAAAACCTCCTATCCAGAATATTCTACTTCTAAGATCATTGTTTTGTATATAAAGGTGAGAAAGCACCTTCAGGTTTACTGTAGGAGATCACTAGCTTCCCAAATCTGCCTGCACAAGACAACCTAGAATTTCTCCACAGGAAGAAAGATTACAGTCTGGCATTCGAATTCACAAGTTTTTCAAAGTCAACATAAAAAAAAGAAATCACATTACTTCAAAACATTATACTCCACTTCTTTATGACCCATACAGCCACTAGTACCCATACTGAACTATTTAATTAGTTGGTATTTACTGGTACAGCAAATTACCTTTCTTTCCTTCTTAACTGCTAGTCTTTTAGGACAAAGCAGATGATATTTAATGGCCTTAGGACTGCCAGCATTTCTGACAACACCTGTGTTCCAAAGTCAGCCTGGTTTACTTTATCCCCTCCCAAAACCGCTGTCCACCTGGACGGCGGGACTCTCTCCTCTCACACCAGTGAAGCCAGCCAAACTGAACGGTGCCTGCAAGACGGCAGCTCTTCCTTCCCTGTGCCTCGAACACCATCATCGCAAAGCTGTCACCTCTTTGGCTCAGCAAAGCAACAGGAGAGTGAGTCCAAGCTTGCATCATCGGTTCACCCCAAACTCAGTCACAGGAAATGATATTTCACTTCCCCCCTCCCTGTTCCCCCAAGCATCACCCCCTTAGTTGATACTCAAAGCATTGCTTATTCCCACCCTGTTTGGGTGACAGGGGTCACTGCTTGCTCTAAGAAAACAGGACAAAAAGAAGAACCAAACAGGACAAGATTACAGGGGTTTGTCATCAGTCTTTTAAAAAACCCACTGCGATTGTAGGTGGTAAGGTCCTGCAGCCAGGATGCTCAGAGACGAAAGCAAAATGACACAATTAGGAGTTTACCACGGTTCCTGTCAAACAGACTCACCTTCAAGTGGATTCACTGGGATTAACTATGCATCGTCAAGAGTCAGAAAAAGTTCAGAAAAAAGTAAATACCAAGCATCTGCATGTTTAAGACCGTAACAGATGAGAAATTATTATGTTGTAAATCAATCCAGCTGTTTCCCTGCTTTGAATCCTCCCTGCTCCAAAACACCCTACTGATACAAGCTGGCCAAACTTTTATTTTAAAGAAAAGTCAGATTTGTGCAGAATAATTTAGAGTCAAAACATTTTCCTCTCCAAGTAATCATCTTCCAGCAGACAGAAAGCCCGATCCAGCAACACTTGCTTGTTAGCAGAGTCACTTTTTGAAACTCTGAACAGCGGAGGAGGTCACGGACCCAACCGCACACGTCAAACTTCTTACGAGCAATTAAAGGAAAGATAATTTGCGAGATAAACACTTGAGAACTGGAGAGCTTTCACAACCGGCGCAATTACAATAAATCAGGAGCAAGGCCGCTCTGCCAGCCCCTGCTCCCGGGGCTCATCATCATCATCTCCGAGGG